GCATAGCTGCAAAAAACGCATAAAAAGCACTTGAGTGTGCCAGTGCTGTGGTGCGCTACGCCATGTTTATTGTTTTACAGATCTATGACCATTTGTTATTGTGTAACAGCAACGACCAAAACAGTGGAAGCGCAGCCGATCAAGAAAACTGCGTTTTGACATATCTTCAACAAATAGATGCCATAATTGAATCACTAAATTATGCGCGTCTGCTTCCGAAAAACGGAAATACCACTGGCATTGCCACAGATAGGTCTGTTTTCGAAATTTTTTTTGATGCAGGCTGAAGGAGCGTATACTATACAATTAGCCAAACAAAAAAAACGTAAGAAAGCAAAGAAAAGGCTAATACAGCTTCGGACAGGGCAGTCGTAGAAAGATTGCCTGAGGGTGCCGCACTACGAGGGAACAACAGTTGATCAAATGAATGAATAAATGGAATTGAATGGAATGAATGAACTAAATGAAAGCACTTCCCTATTATAAATTTTACTCTTTCAGCTAATCTTAAGCAATGCGCAGTCATTTTTTTTTTTGTCTCCGTTATACGTAGTTTCCGCAAGGTTACGTCATTCTCAGGCAGAACGGACTTAGAATTTAGTCGAAATTTTAGACTTTCGACGCTAAACTCAGCCAGTACTCATCGCAGATCCACCCAAATACTCCTGACACTGGATAGGCTGAAAAATTTTGATGCTTGCTTTGGTGCTTGAGTTAAAAGAAGAGCTTCAAAATTACTGGTGAAAAAAAAAACCATCTCTGATATAACCACTGATTTATTTTAACGATATGGGCGCATAATTCCACGTGTATTCTTAAATCAATTCCTAGAAGAAAGAGTGATTGAAGCATTTGTCAGAAAGGAAATATTGCTGCTGCTGCTGCTGCTGCCATCACAGTGACATCACTTGAATGCAGTTTCTCCGCTACTTATAAAAAGTAAAATGTAGGGAGGATTTTCTAATTTTTATTAAAAGAGGCACAGGTCGTAGAATCTAGAATTATCTAAACGTACATGTACAATCTACGGCGGAAACTTTTTCCGGACTAGAAGTTCTGGAGTAGAGGGGAACTTGGTAAGGTACGCCATTTCCTTCCTTCCTCGTCCTTTCTTCTCTCGCTCTTCTCTGTCCCTCTGTTTTTTGCCGTGGCAGAAAGAAAGGAACTCATGTCCTGAGTTATTTGCCATAGCTTTACTTCCATCACTTTCTGATCATTCTAGGCAGTGGGAGCTTAAGCAAGTGAAAGTGGCATTTTTTGCAAACTGATGAGATATAATTCGTAACACTTGGAAATGCATCACTGTAACCGGTTTTCCTGTTTGAATGAACAAGGAAATTCTAAAATCTGCTAGTGTATGTGTTTTATTTTTCAGAACCAGAAATGTCTGTGATGAATCCGTCTCTGACGCAGCACAGAACATTGAAGAAGTTCAGAACACAGCAAGCTCGGCAACAGCAGGAGCAGCAGGAGCAGTAGCAGCTTCTACCACAAATGGAATTGAGAAAGAAGGTTCCAGTTCTGTAGAGGACAAGGAAAATTTGGGCGCCGTCGACCAAGCAGTCTCAGATGAGGAGGTGCCACCATCTGGTGAATCGAAGCTTGTAAGAATTCAAACTTTTGCAAGTTTTGTTAAAATAAAAAAAAAAACCAGCAAGGTTGTTGCTGCATAAGTGACGCAAGATACCGCATTAGACTAGGCGGTTGTAATCAGAAACAGCACTTCATCTACTTACTCATTTTTACGCGATTTGTGCTGGGACAGTTCCAAAAAACGCGTATTATAACGCCTATTTCTCTGTGCGTATGTATGTATTCGAGTACGCACACTCTGCTTCTCTCTCCATTTCCTACCTCAAAGTGGGGTCTGAACTCTTTTAAAGTCAGTTACTTCCCTGCCTT